TTTGCTTTTGTTACAGTTGAGTGTTTCTTTTGTTCCGTTGTGTTCCTCTTATAGTTGATGTGACCACTCGGTTTTAGTTTGTTACCCGGATTTGTTTTTGCTTAATCGAATTATGACTACTGAACAGCGGTATACTATTATTGCCTTTATTTACAATAAAAATAATTTAACGTTTAACATAAGAAGTGTGCCTTTGCCAATTTTAGGTAGGTTATAAAAAGTGATAACAACTCTGCACTGGAAAGACGTGACTGGTACTATTATAAAGATGTTTCTACCATTTTTTATGTAAAAATAACTATTTCTATCAAAATTTTTACCTTAACAGAAAATTACATTATATCCTCAAGATTTATAAATTTGAAAGATAACACACATTACTCATAGGAAAACTTGGTCTATCCGCTTGCTCTTGTTTGGGAAAGAAACATTATGTCCGTCATAAATGAAACAACTCGTACAAACGGATTTCTTATTAAATGTTTAATTACGGAATTGGCAAAACGGCTATTCAAAACATCATCCTGCAAGAACTGATTGTTTACAAATAATTAGTCTAGTCTTGGAAGCTTTTGCAAACTTGAAAAAATGACGATGTTTTAAGACATAATTCAGACTAATGCTTAAAGAATCACTATCTGATGCAATTTTGGCTTTTTTTAAGTTTATCAAGACAGTTCAATCGCTCTCTAGCATCTATTGAAGTCCATCAATTAAACATTGGTATTGCAATGACTGATCAACCAGCTTTATTAAAGTGTGACCTTTTTGTCTGCTTTTATTATAACGATTGTTGAAAATTGACAGCATTACGAGATGAATTGTTGCCTAAAAATGATATAATCAAAATTGAAAATGCGAAACCTATTAATTTCGCGTTAATAAAAACATCGCATAATTCTGAATTTATTTTTTTTGTCAGGTAGAACAACTCTTAAACGATAACAAAAATAAAGACACATTCATTATCAATGTTTGGTCTTTTTGTTCACCAAACTTGTCTTTAGGCCAATATTATTACTTAACAAAACTACCAGACAAAATCAAGTTGAACACATTCATATACACCTACATGCGTATCCTAATTGACACTAAACAGTGTTCAACACGGCCATTTCAGATGAACCGCCTGTCATATTACTATATAAAAGTATGAAAACTTAACCAGACAGCCAACAAGTATGTTGAAACAACTATAAGAAAGCCAAAAAAAAAAACAAAAACAAGTTTAGACCTATTAACAAAAAACTGAAAAAAAAGAATTGGTGTCTGTAACTTTTGAGCTTTTAAAATCTCAAGAATGTGCCTTTTAAATGAATAAAGCACATTTTATAATCTGCCTTCAAAGCAGATTTCATGAATATATTTCATCAAGTATGATTAAACCGAAATGATTGAAAGCCAGTGATTATAAATACGAAGAAAGGTTAAGAACTATATGACCAAAAGTGACACAAAAAAATAGCCAAATTCAGTAGGGAGAACTTTGCTTTTTACTATATTTTTTAATTATCACCGGAAACGTTGGAAACACATGCCATGAATCATTTTAGTACCAAAGCACTTACAACTTAGCTGATTATACCCTCGTGATTTTAGGGTCGAGCAGCAGTGATATCGACTTAGTGCTTGTAAATGAAAACAACACTCTATAAGTAATGCTGCAATTAAAGCAATGTTGGGAATTGTGTGGAAATCTAAAGCAAAAACCGCATCCTAACGAGAACTTACACCGTTGATCCCTTTTAACCCAATTTAGCAATATTTTATCTCTGAAACAAGTAGTAGGTCATAACTGAAAGCTTGAAAAGCGATTTCATGGCTATTATTAAAGGATCCATAATAAAACAGTTGTAATCTATACTCTAAATCCCATTTAAAAATGTTTGAGTCGTGGTCTTTTATGAGCGTTTTGATTTCGAAAACCATGAATTCCATCTCAAAGGTGTTATTAAACTACTTTATGGAAATTTGATATCGAATACATGCAACTGTATCAGTTTTTATACATCCTTGGCTTTCAAATATTCGGATTTGCGCGTACTTAGATGATCAACACGACGGATGACACACGGTGAGCAGGATCTGTTTACCCTTCCGGAGCACCTGGGATCACCCCCAATTTTTGGTGGGATTTGTGTTGCTCAGTCTTTACTGTTGTTTTTCTTTTTTTGACATGGCGTTGCCGGTTTATTATTATGTGTTTGAATATCCTTTTGGAGTCTTTCGTCTTTTTTGTTCTAATTAAGGTGTATCTTTTAACATTTAAATAGAATGTGTATACGACAAACCAGCTCTTGATAACATTTAATCTCTCTCAACATTGATCGTTAGCAGCTAATATCCTAGGTCTTATTCAAAATTGCTTTGACAATTCATTGAAACATGCGTTCTTTAACTATTTTAACATGTTTCAATCAAGTCTAAAAAAGGATATGTCAAATTGTAACCTGTCACTAAATATTAGTCTACACTAAAATTTGTTGACGGGAACCTGTTTATAATGTTGTTTTTTTTTTCAAAACGTTCCAATTATATCTTAAATGCTTTCTTGTTGGATTTTCATGACATTCAAGCTTTAATGAAAACATATTTTTAACTGACCTCAGAACAAGTGTTTTATAATTCCAAATGCATTTAAACCGGATTATGACCAATGTGATAAGCATCGATATACCACCCGTTGAATGAATATGTCTCCTGTAATTTCCCTTCATTACCATAATTAGTAATTGCTCTCGGCAATTTACTATTACTTAATTATATAAACATATGTAACCTCACTAAACAGTTGATTAAGTTTTCATCCACTACAGATTTTTCAAGCTTTAAAATGCATATTTTCTAACAATTTCTTAACGACTTGTAGTCTGCATTTATTTAAAAATTTACATTCTTTCCGTCACATCTATTTTATAGCAAATATCTTTTTATGGCTGCTGTGAGACCTGTAAAACGATTTTAGGTTCGCACCGTAATTACAGAAATTACAAAAAAAGTTTTAACAAAAATACCGAACTGCAAGATAAATTAAATAAAAGTCCATGAAGCTTGAAAAAATCAAACGCTCGACTATATCAGTCAACGGTACGATATGGAAACAACTTTCATATTCCTGACTTGATATAGGCATTTACAAAATAACAGCTAACTTCTGCACATTCTTTCTTTGACATATATTACTTACCAGTTACCTCCAAGCAACGGGCTGTAAGATCTGTTAACAATTGTAAAATTGTACTGTGGAAAAAATGGAGCCGTGAAAGGTTCAGGTCCATGGACATGAGATAGGTCTACGACACGAATATCACAACAGCTTGAACGTTTTGATGCAATAATTCCGAATACTAAACTAAGAAATACAAGCATATTCGTTGTGCAATTCTTTTTCATTGTATAAATCTATAATTGTGTTGTGTAATGAATAAAAAAGATTCTTGTATTTATAGTTTTCAAGTAAAACATGTTACTGCACATCAGTTAAAAATTACGACAATGCTTTGACAGCCGATATATCATGAATACTGACAAATAATTGTTAATGACGTCTTAAAATCACATAAGAAACCACAAGGCATATGCATTATTAGTCTGTTATCTGTTATAATTTTCACGAACATGAAAATCAAAATGAAATAATGCAAAACTACTTAAAAATAAAATAAGTAAGATGTAAGAGGATTACTAAAAGTCCTAAAATGTCTTTTCTATTGCAATATTTAAATCAATCCATATTTACTGATGTCGTGGTAAAATTCAGGCTGACACCTTAAAATGTGCATAATTTAAAAAATTTCTCCTAGTATATTTAACAAAAATTTAACCTGATTCTCAGAGTCTGTTAATGGGGCCATAGAGCTATATCAAATGTCAAACGAACATAAAAACCTCACAAAAAATACAGATTCTACCAATGCATTGAGTGGGATATACGATATTTATACACATGAAGGAGCATAATTGTCAAATTTTATAAAGCGAGACTTGCCGAGCGTTTTCAAATATTACTACAATTTAACTGTCCAGATAAGCAAAATATATATTGCAAGCGATATGTTTTAAAGAGATTCGTTTCTCTAGAGATATTAAAACGATATGGTATCTCACATTTCAGTGGTTGCAAAAATATTTTGAGACGGCAGAAAACTCAACAATTCAACATTCGTCAGCACTATTTCGCTCAAATGTACTGCTGAAGACCACTGTGGCACCCATTTGGTAAGATTATCTTTGCACAGATACCACCATGTTGATTGATTTCGGTGCTCAAAAGACCGTTGTAACAGAGAGTCCTTCATGAAAAATGAACCTGCAGAGAGAAGGATCCGACAACATTCAACTTTCATTTGAGAAACCAAAATGAATGCCTAGCATTCTTCTGCCTCAGTACCCTTCTCATGATTGACCACAAGTGATGCAGCGAACGGACTTGCATACTAACAAAGGTTATCCGTATTATTCATTTCATTAATGACAGGACCGAATCTGACATTGAAATGTGAAAGGACTAGAGCTTGCACACCCAACTGTTATCCGTATTATTCATTTCAGTAATGATATAGCGTATGCTGAAACGAAATCAGACGTTGAAAGGTGAAAGGACTAAATGTCGTTTTTTTTTTAACGTTTCTCATATCTCATTTTTTTTTTTTTATTCAACAACAATATTGCACATGCTGTTAACAGATTTTTTCACTGGTACAGCTATTTCAGTGAAGATCCCTGTATATTAGTACCTTAAGACCAGGGTATCTTCAGGCGTAATATATTTATAATTTTGTTAGTATGTATATTATATGTCTTGATATTTCTCTATTATTTTACTATTATAACTCTGAATATGAACTTTATATATATAGTAAAAAAACAGTTTTCTTTAATATACCATCAATTGTTACTATCTGATAGATGTTGAGAATAAAACAGAATAACGGGTTATCTTAGCGTGTTCGGAATTTGGTTTGTGGTTCAATATATTTCTCTGTTGTCCGGTATCACGATTTTTCAGTTGTTGTATTTTGTGTGGATTAATTGCTTTCACCACGTGCCTCCCAAATACAATTGTATTAGCCACGGAAGGTATGTACACAAAAAAAATTTTGGTCTCATATAGTAAGCATAATTTGTATATCTTCCGTATAATCTAAAATTACAGTATATAAATTTGTGGAAGAAATAAGAGGTACTTTCACTTTCAAAACTCATTGAAATTGTAAAATGAAATAATCATCTATCAAACCGTTCTGTAAAATACATATATAATAACAATATTGACAATAATATAACAATGTTGTCAAATATAAGAATATATCTTTTCTAGTATCCCTTTTCCTTCAATATTAATATTTTTTTTTGTAATAATAATCCTTTTTTTAAATTCTGACCTAAAAACATTATATAGATTGATATTTTTTGTCCTATATTCTGACAAATAGTGTATTTTGTGTATAGTGAACACAATAACTGTAAGTAAAAAGTTTATTTCATAATAATGTTCATCATTAATTTTATATCCCAAGATTAAATTTTTTTCAGTGAAAATGTATCTACCAATCTTAGCTATTTCAAATAATTTATATACTTCCCCCAAAACTCATCTAAAAAGTGGCACGTTACAAAAAAATGTTCATAGTCTTCTGTAAGGTTACAAAAATTACAAATAGAGTAATGGCTTATTTTCCATTGTTTTAACAACACTTTGTTTGGAAGAATAAAGTGTGATAGTTTCCATCTGCACATTTTCAGTTTATTATCTTTAAAATAGTTATGAATACATTTTTGCATATATTGAGCTTCACTTTGTATATTTTCACTTTTAATGTTCTGTTCCACTTATGATACCCTATTGGAATTTCTTTATCATATTCTATTAAAATTGTATAAATTTTCGTCGAATCTAATTTTTCTAGTTTCTATGTTTGCAATTATTTTTTTCACTTATATATAGTGAGTTATTTGTTAAAACACTAGTTTTTATTGAACTTTCTTCATTTAATATTTTTAACCATTCTTTTGGGATTGCTTTTCTTAACTTTGAGAATTCAGCTATCCAATTCGATTTATTTTTTAATTTTAAACTTATAATTTTTTCTGAAAAGACTCCAATTTCATCAATAATATCATTTATATGAATGATATTGCTATCTATCCAGTTTTGGAAAAGTAGTGTTTTCTTCTGAAATTTGATCAATTGATTTCCCCAAATGACTTCTTGGCGGATAAGTCTGTAATTATTTGGATGTTTAATTTTATTATTTTTATTTTTTAACCATACTTTAATCATATCAAGATAAAATTCAGATAGCTCTTTAGTACCTGGTAGGTAGCGAGTATATATTATAAGTATTCATTCTTAAGATAAGTAGATTGCTACCAAATTTATTTAGATAAAATTTTGGTATAACCATCCAATTAAGAAATTTATCAGCAGTTAATCTTTTTATCCAACCTATCTTAATAGATTCTATATATTTATCTATATTTACCATTTTTAATCCGCCATCTAGTTGGTTGTAGCTTAATACAGTGCGTTTAACTTTTTCTGTCTTATTGTTCCATAGAAATTCATATATATTTTTTTTAAATTTATCTAAATACTCTTTACCAAGGTTGAGACTGTAGCCAAATAAGTAATAATAGGAATAACTAAAGATTTAATAACTGTTATTCTTCCTATCATGGTTAAGTTTCTTTCTTTCCAATTAGATATAATTTTTACAGACTGCTCTAGCTGTTTTTCAAAATTTAGTTTATGACACTCTTCTTTGTTATGTCCAAAATATATCCCCAGACTTATAACTGGTTTATCTGTAAAGTTAATATTTTCATATTTTTCTTTACAATGTTTTTGTTTCCCTAGCCAAATACCCTCCGTTTTAGATCTGTTAAGTTTTAATCCTGACAGTGAACCAAATGTTTCAATCATGTTAAGAGCTTTTGAAATATCTTGTTTTGATTTGAGAAAAAGAGTGGTGTCATCTGCTAGCTGACTTATTTTTAAAGTATGGGTTTTTCCATCTACCTTGACTTCAAATCCTTTAATGTTATGGTCTTGCCTAATTTTACAAGCTAGAACCTCCACAGCAATAACAAAAATTGTCGCACTACATGGACAGCCTTGACGTATTCCACGATATATACTCATGGGTTTTGAAATCCACCCATTATTTAAAACTGAACTTTTGATGCCAGTATATAAAAGTTTTATCTATCTCATCATAGAATTTTTAAATCCAAATCTTTGTAAAGCAAAGAACATAAAATCCCACTCTAATGAATCGAATGCCTTTGGAAAATCTAAGAATAATAAAGCGCCCTCTATATTAAATTTGTCTGCGTAATATATGACATCTTGAATTTGTCTAATATTATAGCCTATTTATCTGTTTTTAACATACCCATTTTGATCTCCATGAATAATTTGGGGTAATATTTTGATGATTCTTTGAGCAAGTGAATAAGCAACTAATTTTGTGTCAATATTCAATAATGTTATTGGTCTATAATTGTCTAAACTGAGAGGATCATTTTTTTTTTAAGTAAAAGGGAAATAACTCCTAATTTTTGTGAATCTGTTAACTCCCCTTTATCAAATGAGAAATTAAAAGTTTTGACTGCAAACACTTTAAGATGTTCCTAAAAAGTTCTATAAAATTCTACACTTAAGCCATCAATTCCTGGGGCTTTATTTAGTTTCATTTTAAATAATGAATCAGTGCATTCTTGAGTGCTTAATAAACCTTCCATACTATCGCCTTCTTTATCTGTTAGGACATGATCACATTCTGTATTCATAAATAACCTTTTATAAAAATTTTATTGGGATTTGAACTTTTATAAATTTCTTCATAAAATTCCTTTTCAAGATTTAGTATTTCTGTAGGATGTGTATGTATCACCCCCTCTTTGTCCCTGAGCGCTGTTATAGTTTTCCTTGTTTGCCTAGCTTTTTCTAGTCCCAAGAAGAATTTTGTGTTTTTTTCTCCTTCTTCTACCCACTTAATTCTGGATCTTATTTGTGCTCCTTTTGTTTTTGAATCTTATAAGTTACCACGTTTTTCTTCTATAATATTAATTTCCTCTTTAAAAGAGTTAATAACATCCTTTTTACATTTTTTGTTTGTACCCTTATTATTCAATTTGTTTTCTAAAATATGTATTTCCTTTACATTATTTTGTGCTTTTCTTTTGCAGAATGCTATGGTGTGGTCTCTAACCTCGGTTTTAAACAGATCCCACTTGACACCAATATCATTGGTGAGTAATATTTTCTTTTCATATTGTTTGATTAGAATTTTGATGGGGTTTTGATATTCTTCATTTTCTAAAATACTATTATTAATTTTAAAGTATCCTTTAACTTTTTGGTCTGTTCGACCTTTTATCTTTATAGAAATTGCCTGATGGTCTGTATGAGTTATAATAGCTGGCCTAATATCAGTATATTCTATTGTAGTTCTTATTTCAGGACATGTTAAGAAAAAATCTATTCAAGATGCTTCATTTAAATTATTTTTACGTCGCCAAGTAAATTGTATTTCCCTACCATGAAGCTCTCTCCAAATATCACTAAGTTTTTGGGTTTTCATTAGATTTAAGGCTAAATACTGGTTTTGTTTGTTTCGATTTTTGTGTTGACATTTTTTTTTTTTTTTTTGTTATCTATTTTTGTTAAAGTATCATTCATATCTCCTCCAATTATAACCATTCCTAAACTCTTTTTTGTAACTACTTCAATCTTTAACTTTTTTGAAAAAAATACTAGTATTTCTTTTTTTATGTATATTTGGTGCATAGACATTTACTAAGGTGTAAATACTGTCTTCAATTTCAACATTTATTAAGAGTAGCCTGCCCTCTTGGTCTTTGAACATATTTATAAATTTGCATTCTAAATCGTTATTAATAAAAATTGAAACTCCTCTGGACTGTGAGGTTCCAAAGCTATGATATTGTTGACCTTTAATTTCAAATCAAATACACATTATCAGAGACATATGTGTCTCCAACATTATTAGGTCCATTACATTGTGATTCTGTGCAAAAAATAATGCTGTGACATGTCAATTTCAATATTGTAAACAATTGATTTCTTTCATGTCGTAACACCTGTTGTTTTCTATTTTTAGACACCAGACAACGTAGCTGAAGAAACAATAGTAATTGGATCTTATCGTGTAAATTTTGGAATAGTGATTTCGTAAAACTTGGTATTCTATTAATGGAAATTGAGTTCTGCGTATAAAGAATTGACATGCTTTGAACAGGAAAAAGTAATAGGATGTAATAGCATATTACTGAACAAAAGGAAAATAGACAATGTCAATTGTGCGAATAAAACGGATAAAACGATGTGAGCTTTTTTGGGTAATAGATTGTAGAGTTCAATATCTGGAACATAAACAAGATTTCACCTGTTGGAAACAGAATAGGTTCTATTAATAGATTTATTTTTTCCAAGATTTCTATTCTCTTTTACTTGAAAATAATTGTTATAAAATGTTCAAATTTCTGTATGATTATTATTATATTATCTTTTCTATCAAAAAAAATACAAACTACAATTGTTTTGTATTAGATTAATATAATTATAATTAAAGTATTTTAAATTGACATACTTTTGTATTCTATTATACATCATTTTGTTTGTTTCAGATTTGACTGATTTATTTTCATACACATTTGAATGTATGTAATCCTTAATTACATCACTAAATTTCGTACACATAACTGTTATCCGTATTATTCCTTTCAGTAATGATAGAGCTTACGTTGAAACGGAATCTGACATTGAAAGGTGAAAATACTAAAGCTCGCACACTAAAGTGCAGAACAGGACACTATTGAAACTTTATAACTGTATTAATTATTTTTATATTTCTCATATTTTATTGAAATTTGTACATTTGTTCGTTGAAAAACATCAAGTACCGGTACCTTATACCGGCCTCGTTAACATTAATAAATAACATATTTATACAGCTCTTAGTATTTGTTAGTAAAATACATACAATATAAAATACTTAAACGCAAACTGTATTATTAATCAGTGCCGCTTTTTTTTTTTAATTGGGAAACACTTTATGATAGCTATTGTATACGCGGAAGCGAGCCCACCGCAGTCAAATCGAAAGTAGGACAGGTGATTTCTAAACCGTTGCATTCAGAAAAATTACAGCTATCGACGACGTTGAGTATTTTGAATAGTCTTTTGTCATATAAACATGTGAAGAGTGTGGTTTAGAAGCGTTTTGGAAACTAGAAGCTATAGGAATCAAATCCCCAGAAGTACACGAAAAAGAGACTGAATATTTAAGAAGTTACCACAAGAGAACATTAAACTTTTAAATGGACTTCTGAAGTAAAGTGATGAAGCATATTTGTATGACCCGATGCATATCAGCTGTTCTAAATTTTAATTATATGAACTATGTTAAGTTTTATTCTGAAAGAACTGGGAAAAATGTTAAGCTGAGAGTCTTTAATTTTAACATAATTTAATGTGCATTCATTTTCCTTTTCTATGTGAAATACTTTTACGCGGCCTCCAGAATGTTAAAAAGATAGTGGTACCAGATTCGTTGCAAATTAACGTACCTTTATAGGTCGAAGTCATATAGATGATGACGTGTTGTTTCTTATGTTAGAGATAGATAATTAAAATTCTAATACTAGCATGACCTTCTTTAAACGCTTTGAGTACACACCCGTGGTATAATATTTTATGTCATCTGATTGGCAACGTCATGATTTTTTGGGCTGTTTCCTTCATACTTCCACGTCGTATGCTGTTTATGAATGAGTTACCTGAAGTCAATCTGGGTAAATGACGTCATAGAACGATGACGTAAGAATATAAGTATTCTACGGGAAAATGAACGAATCATGAAACTGAAATTCATCAAAACACGGAAATATACACAAACGATGATAAAAATGTGTTGAAAGCCAATTTTCTTGAATAAAGTAAGATAATCATTTAACTTTGTACAAGCCTGTCCAAGTATGTTATTGTAAATCGTTAAAACATGGCTCTTTTTCAGTTTTCTTTTTCTTTTTCGTCAATGTTAAAAGTATGTTAAACGTCGAGAATAGCAAATATTTGCCTTCACCTAGTGCACTTCAATCCAAAAGAATTGCCGTGTTTGACTTTTAAGATAGAAATAAATCATTGGGGCTTGAATTATTTCTTAAATCATCCCACATTTGTCACTTAACTGCAACACCACAACTTACCTATGTTGTCGGTTACCTTTTACGTGTCTAGCCCTAAGCTTACTTACCAGATTCGTTGCGATTTTATTTTGTCACAATTGTCGTCTTTCATGAAAACAAATACAAGATCTAATTATGACATTTGAAATGTCAATTGTTGTGACAATTCATGATATCGTTATCTCGTAAGTTACTAAAGCATTGAGGATTTTAGGAGAACAACATCTTGGATGATTTGCATATGCGTATATTTGGCTCTGTTCCTTCAGGTTGCTTGATACTTTTTCCACATAGATAATTGAAGGAAACATAAACTTGATTATATATAGGTTAACACTTTGAAGTGGGGTCATGTTATGATGTCATTTTAATGTTATATTTAACATTGCCATAAAAGCGGCAGGTATGGCTAGCCACAAAATCAGGTTCAACTCACCATTTTTTTTCTTAAAATGTCCTGTACCAAGTCAGGAAAATGGCCATTGTTATATTATAGTTCGTTTCTGTGTGTGTTACATTTTAATGTTGTGTTTCTGTTGTGTCGTAGTTCTCCTCTTATATTTGATGTGTTTCCCTCAGTTTTAGTTTGTAACCTGGAATTGTTTTTTTTTTCTCAATCGATTTATGAATTTCGAACAGCGGTATACTACTGTTGCCTTTATTTCTATATTCTGATATGATACTTCTCCTGTCGAGACAATTAACATTTTTGATTTTGAATGAAGAAATGTCGATTCGCAAGAGGATGGAATCTGTTTCTCTAATGGTTGTTGTTGACGATATGAAGAAGGGCTGCTTAAAGATTGCATCTTTCCATTTTACCTTATCGGATATGGTCGTCTTTTTTCGGGACGACACAATAGAAAAATGAGATGAGGTCAAGAAAAGCTGACGTCATTTTAGAATTTTGACCAATGAAAAATTTTGATCAAGCGAACCACAATTTGATTTTAGAAAAGAATCGACAGTGGTGGTTGTTAAATTTAAGCTGATATATATCTATTACAATCAACCTGAAAGGTTCTCCTAATACAAAAAATAACCTGACCACCAGATAGTGAGAATGAAGCTATGTCAGTGTGATATATGTCAGAAGAGTGTACACTGTTCGAAATAAACAGATATTTTATATGACATATTGTACAACTTTTACATAAATATAGTTACTCAACAACTGGTTTATTCCTATAACTATACAATAAAGTGAATGCCAAGTGAAAAAGCAAAAGCCAAATTCTGCAATCAAAGGCAGTATGAGTCTCAGAATTTTTAGGGGAAAACATGTGTGATTTGCAAAAAAAAGATATATAGCAGTAATGATGATAATGTTGTATATTTATTCTGCAGAAAGTTATCATAAATTAACCCATTTCTCTGACGTCAGTCTATTGTTCTATCAGTAGATTATTTTTTAAGAATCCACTGACCACTGTGTTAACTTGAAATGACTCATATATTATAACTTTTAACTTACGATCGTTTATCCTCTCAAAAACGAGTGTCTTGTGAAGGGTCCGAACTCGAGCGTATTTTCATCGTAAATCATAACAGTCTTCATTCTATGCATGAAACCACTAAACCACGAGTGCTGACATATATCATTATTTAAATTATAAACTTGAAGCACATGATTCTTTATTCATGGCAATAAATTCGTTGATAATTCATTTAAATAAGCTTCTGTAATGTATGAAATATATATCAAATATAGAACGACACCGATACAAGAAAAAAAAATAAATGAAACATTTTCTTTACAATCATAAACAAGAGTTTATTCTGAATGTCAGGTTTGAATATTGGTCGATTTTTAACATCGTTATAATGAACTAAACCATTCATACGAATGTGGCTATTACACAATAGTTAAAGCCACTATAAAATGAAGGAATTGGATAAAGCAGTTCAATTCCTTGATAAAATTAACATCAATATGCCCATTACACTTGTCACTTTGACATTACAGGGACTTTCAATTTTCTTTTTCGTCATAGTAAATGCTTGCTTATGGTTTTAGTTTGATAATATTATCATACAATCAATCAAGTTTTCTTTGTTTGATTATACATGGTCCAAATATACAGCACGTCAACATTGAACGGACTCTAATTTGAGTAAAGTGTGATATAAAAGCCACGACTGTAAAACTACTTCTTTGACAGAAAAGAAAATCAAAATCATCGCCCTTATATGAACACGAGATATATAATACCTCTAAGATTAAAATAATATTTTGTTCGAGAAAAAAATTATGACGAAAAAATTTCATTCCGGGTACAAGGTTTGAACTCTGTATTGTTAATATCATCGTAATGACTTTCGTTAACAACGACTAAACGATCACGGCTATGAACAGCTTGATTGGAGATGTATAAAATCAACATAATTATACATCTGTAGCAGGATCAATTCTGCTGGGGATTCGGGAATGCGTACCACAGTTAATACAAGCTTATTGACTGATTGACGATGGATGCCAAATGTAATAACACTAAAATGTTCTAAACTTGATGAAACAGAAACATTTTAAATAAAATTTATATCTAGTTTAAGAAATAATTCATGGCAGCCGTAGATTTGTTTTCATTTAACCATGGGTTGGGCATTTATATTTAATTATTTTATCCCGAGCGACAGCGAGGGGTAAACTATGAATAGAAATGACCAACCCATGGTGAAATGAAAACAAATTTACGGCTGCCATGAATTATTTTGATTCTAATAGGACAAATTCTGTAATTTTGTCAACCGTGAAAACCCTATACACACGATGCTGTTTTGGCTGTTCCGTTTTACCCCACATATAATAATATTGATGATGTAATATTATTCAATAATAAATGAAAAAAACGCACATTCTTCAAATAATTTTGTTCTTTTGTGTTATTTTATTACATTCTGAGGCGTACAAGAAGCCTTAAGGATGTTCGCTCCTCTTGTTTTTGATTTTTGCCAGATGTTCGGAATCCTCTTGTTTTATCGATGTAGTGCCATTAAAAATTTTGCCCGCTGACCCCTATTTTTCTTTTCATAATTTTATTACATATGGTTTAAAAAGCCATATTTGAAAATCTAAAATCCTTGTTATTTTTTCATTGTTTTTGAAAGAAAAAAGGTTCCAATGTTAAATGTATGAAAAATCTAGAGAGAATCATTTCCCGCTAAATTTTCGGCTTATATCTCGAAAACAAGC